AGCATTTCAGCCCAAGAGCGGGTGCAAAGCCAACCTGGAAGCTCCATTCGGCACCACTGGACACGGGGCACCTGAAAACACCTGGAGCCCCAAACCATCGCAGGGATCAGAAAGAAAGAACATCTGGAAAAACAGCTTCCGTGATGTTACAGCCAGCATTCGCAACCAGACAGCAAGAGCATCTCCTCCTCTTTTGCAGAACTGCTATTTGCTAACTCGGGGTTAGAGAAAGCACCCCCCTCCCGCACAGTGGTTCAGGAGCTTGAGAGTCCTGGCTTTCCTCTGCGGTCTCCACCGCCAGGAAGTTCGGAGCTAAATTTCCTAAGAATTAGGCCCCTTCTTCACGGGATGACTCTTGTTGTCTGGGGCTTGTTTCTGGTTTTGTTTTATGACATAATTCACATACCATAAAATTCACCCTCTTAGAATGTACAGTTCATTGGTTTTTTTGTATATTCCCACGGTTGTGCAACCCCCACCACTATTTAGTTCTAGAATACTTTCATCACCCCAAAAAGAACCCCACACCCATTAGCAGTCCCTCCCCACCCAGCCTCTCCTCTCCAGCCATTTGGGGCTTTTTAATGAAGGACCATTTGATGAAAGAACACAGCAATTCAATGCAGAACCCAAAAGGACTGGTGTTCAGGCCGGGTCAGCTGCAAAGAGGCAGGAAGAACAGGGACAAGTCTGAACCAGGAGGCAGGGTCTGGCAGGACACCAGCTCAGACGGATTGTGAGGTCACCTGAGGAAGGCGGGGGCTCTGTAAATGCGGCTTAATTCAGAACTGAGAGCCGCCCTGTGAGGACCTCCATATGCACGCTGAAACAACTACGAAAGGAAAACATACCTCTAGGAAGGACAATCAATCAATCCTCGAAGAAAAAGATGCGTGTGCAGGGACTAGCCTTCCAGATAGTAAACAATATTCTAAAGCAACAGTAATTAAACAGAAGGGTACTGACACAGGAACGCATGCAGATGAATGGAACCAAAGAGAGCATCCAAAAATAAACCAGAGAATACAGTCATTTTGAGCACGACGGAGGCGGGAAGAACAGACGGACTCCTAGGGCTACTGGTGACCACAGAGGAAACAATAACCCCAGATCCCTATCACACACCTTATAGCAAAATTAATTCCATGTAAATCCAAGATCTTCATGTAAAAGACAAATCAAATTTATTAGAGGAAAACATGTTTGATTAAAAAAATCTTGGCATGGGAAAGGTTTTTCCAAGCTTGACTGGAAGTGACAATGACATTAAGAGGAAGACTGCTAAATCTGACTAGTGGCATTTTAAATGTTCTGGGTTGCCAAAAAAATCCCATCTATAAAGTCAAAAGACATACAACAAAGTGAGGGCAATATTTGTGAAACATCTGAGAAAGAATTAATATCTTGATATACAAAGAACACTTAAAATCAGTAAGAAAAGGACAAATAACTCCACAGAAGAAATGGGCAAAGTAAACTAATAAGAAACACAGTAAAGAAATAGATATGGCTAATAAACATATGAAAAGATGCTCAATTCACTCATAAAGAATTTGTAAAACTAAGTCAAAATGACTTACACACTTCCTCTCACACTTGGGTGGGAAAGCCTGAAAGACTGATAGTACCTCTGCCAGTGCCACGCTACCAAATATTAAAATGCCCATGTCAGTTTGAGAAATGTGCCCTATGGATATTCTTCCAAACACGAACGGGAACCCACGTAAAGCATATTTCACTGCAGTATGCTTTCTAATGGCAAAAAACTGGAATTTTTCAAATTTAACCCAAATGTTCAGCAATAGGGACTGGTTGAAAATTTGTGGTATTGGGGCCGGCCCGCTGGCATAGAGGTTAAGTTCGCACACTCCACTTTGGCAGCCTGGGGTTCACGGGTCCGGATCCTGAGCACAGACGTAGCACCGCTCATCAAGCCACGCCGTGGCAGCATCCCACACTGAGTAGAGGAAAACTAGCACAGATGTTAGCTCAGCAACAATCTTCCTCACACACACACACACACACACACACACACACACACAAATAGTAAAATTTAAAAAATAAAATTTATGGTATAATGTTGCAATAGAACATTATGCAATCATTAAAATGAACAGCAGGCTTCCCACTAAACAGGGCAAATTGAATCTATAGACTCTTCTCCATTACCACCGCAAATTCCATTTAAATTTTAGTAAAGGAATAAAAGAAAACTAGAGACCCTCCCTTCTATGCCCAAGGGGATAAAATGAGAGAGGAGAAAAAGCAATAAGGGAGGAGCAAGCAGAGGGAGAGCAGTGATGGACACAGCAGAGGACACTGGAACCTTCCATCTGTACATGGAGTGACCGACAAGAAGCAAGACCTTTTGTGCCTCAGAACCCAGAAAGTTCAGGAACTGAAGGCTCCAGGCACTGTGAATGTAAGGCTGAGGGCTGGAGCTGCCAAACGGAAAGAGGGTTGAAAGGCCGTTTTAAGAGCAGTTGGACCCCCTGCCCTCAATCGCTCACCCCAGCAGGAGGGTTTCCTTAGAGGAACTGAACTGAAAAAGTTCAGGAACCCAGGCAGCATGAAGACCAGGGCTAACACAAGAGGCTGAAGTGGGAGAATGAATGGAAATCTTCCTACTAAATGGTAAAGGGTTTTATTTCAACAACCCCACAGACACATACACAAAACCACTCAGGGTAAATAGAAAGGCCTCTTCAAATTTAAGATATGATGACAGCAATTATAAAATTTCAATAGATAGATTAGAAGATGAAGAAATCAATGGAAATAAGAAAAGCAAAGGGCCGGCCCAGTGGCACGGTGGTTAAGTTCGCATGTTCCGCCTCTGCGGCCCTGGGTCCACTGGTTCGGATCCTGGGTGCGGACAGGGCACCGCTTGGCAAGCCATGCTGTGGTAGGCGTCCCACGTATAAAGTAGAGGAAGATGGGCACGGATGTTAGCTAAGGGCCAGTCTTCCTCAGCAAAACGAGGAGCACTGGCAGTAGCTAGCTCAGGGCTAATCTTCCTCAAAAAAAAAAAAAAAGAAAGGCAAGATAAGAAATTAAAAGGATAAAATGCAGAGGTCCAACATCCAACCAATTGGAGTATCAGTAAAAGAGAAGAGAGAAAATGGTGGAGGGGGGAGGATGAATTAAAGAAATAATACAAAAAGGTTTCCCAGAACTGGAAGAAGGGGTTTCCCAAGTGAACAGGCTGACCAAGCAAGTGCCCAGCACAGTGGAGGAAAATGGACCCCACCGCAAACCAGCATCATGGACACTTTAACCTAGAGAGGAAGAGAAGATCCCTCGAGCTCCAGCAGAGGACGGGCAACGAGACACACACTGGCCTCCTCAACAGCAACCCTGGATGCTAGAAGACAAGAGGACACTGGCCTCAAAACTGAAGGAAAATGATTTCCAACCAAGAATTATACACCCAAATAGACGAAGCTAACCCAATGTGAGGCAAGCACAGAGACATCTGCAGAGATGTGGGATCTCAGAGAACTTTACCTGCCACGCACCCTCTTCTTAGCAAGCTGCTGGAGGATGTTTCCACCATAAGGAGGGAGTAAACCAAGAGAGAGGAATACAGGAAACGGAAGAGAGGCAAAGAAGATGCCCAGGTACCGGAAGAGGAAAGGCCCGGGATGACCTGGAGAACAAGTCTAGACTGGAGCAGGAGGACAGAGTGATCTGGGACAGATGTCCACAAACAAGCAAAAACAGGAAGGTTAGGTTTGCTGATATACTTGGGCACATTTAGAGGGCCTTTCATCTCTTCCAGAGAATTTGGGGGATAGAGTCATAAATGCTCCATAGAAAACTAAGAAAAGGAAAAGACAGCAATTAGGGACTCCAGGAAAATCGAAAGTTTGTAAAAAGAATCACAGAAGCCTACGTAGCTCATCCTAGAACAATATTTACATAGTCACGGTAACATCAACACTGAATGCCAATCTACGCAACAAACGCAACACAACTGTTTCAGGAGAACCAAAGGTGAGAAAACATGTGAGTTGATTCTTTGATATTTTCAGGTGGAGACTAACAGCATGAATCCTCATCTACTAAATTAGAAAGCTGATGGACGATGTTAGAAATTGGCAAGTTAAGAAATAAGAGTGTACACATACTATTTAGAGACATAAAGGAAATCTGCAGAAGAAACAACAAAAAAGGTTGAAGGTGACTGAATCTGAGGCAGGGGTTTGGAGAGGGGGAGACACGGAGCAAAGATTCCTGACTTTTTCATGATAACTCTTATAATGCTATTTATCTTAAAAATTATATGTAACCGATAAAATTTAAATTTAATTACTTTTGAAAAGGAAATCTACCCATTCTGACGTGGAAACATGGAAAAACAGGAGGTCACACAATGATGTAAATGTGTGACCCAAAATGTGTCAACCCAAGATTCCACTTGGGTTGAGTTTTTAAGCATATCACATATGGCGATAAACATAGAACCATCTGGAAAAGGACACACAGAATTGTTAACAATGACCATCACAGAAAACTGGGCTGGGAGAGGGGAAAAGATGAACATGAGATTTTTTAAATTTTTACTTCAACCTGTGTACTTTAACTTTTTTTAAAATAATAAGCATGTATTACTTTCCAAATTAAAAATAGTTTAAAAAATTCATCCTCTTAAACACTAAGTTTGTTGTCTCTTTCACTTAAATTTTATTGCTGTCCATGTATATTTAACATAACTAGTCCAGTTCAGAAACATGGGGAGATGCTGAATGCGTTTTCCCTCTCATTTCTGCCCAGGTCTGATGCCTCTATACTAATTCTGCATCTATCATGGATGATACAAAAAGTGAAGCCGAAACACACTCCAAAGCTCATTGCTATCCTAAGAATTGACCCTATTACGTGTCAAACAGAAACAATCCATTTATCATCTTCATACCTGCAGCTTGGCAGGGCTACAATGATGGGACCCACCCTGGAGACAAAAGTTCTGAAATCAGAAGACTTGCCCCAGTCCTTACCCAGCTGCCACTTGCGGGAACACATGGTCTCCATCATCCAGATGGGCAGCGCCGGCTCCAGCATGGCAATCGCCATGTTTGCAAAGCAGATGGATCCTTTAAGCGAGATAGAGTAACCGGTTAGCGTGCTGCTGTTTTGGGTCTCGAGTGTCCCCTCCCGTTTCCAAACACGGTTAAACTCCACGTGTCCACAGCCAGAACAATCAGCTGGGATAGCCAGAACGTCTCCTACTTATGCAAGAAAAAGATAAATAACGGGTCAAGAGGATAGCGAGGAGGGTCAGTTTATTGTTATGATGATGATGATGATGATAATTACTATTTTAAACAGAACCCCAGAGTCATAAAGTTTGAAACTAGAGGGAGCCTTAGAGGTCATTTGGTGGAGGTCATTTGATGGATTAATTTATTAATCAAGTAACTTGCTTGAGGGCACCCCAGCAGCCCAGGCCACTTCCAGGCCACACAGACTCGTGCAACGTGAGGCTCCTGCGCTTATGTTTCATCGGGCGATGAACACAGATATTTCTAATGATGCGCTGGGATCTGAAAATCCAGCGCAGTCAGTACAGATGTGCTGCTGAGGGATTTTTTTTTTTTTAAATCAACTATACATATAGGTTATCTTTACAAATAGCCATTATCACTCTGTTAACCAGAACCCTTTGTAAATGTAGAACCAACTGGAAAAAGACACACGGAGCTGTTCCCCATTGTTCTGGGGTTCTGCAAGCTTCCTGTGCTGCACCCTGTGGAACCTCTAATTTGCTAGAATCCCGATTCAAAGAACATTGTGCAATCATGATCAAGGTGCTCACATGATGAAGAAAGATTTTTTCCTTCTTTGTGACATTTAAAGGCAGAACATAGAAATTATGCTGGAATGACCAGACTCTCCTCACCCACCTGTTCTGTTTTCTTAGATTCGGTATTTGTCTATTTGCCATCTTTTAACTAGGGCCAAACAGCCAAAGTTATTTACATCTCTCCTGCGATGCACAGCCCATACTCTGAACCCCCTCACTGTCTAATTCTCACGCACCAAGCCAACATCCCCCTGCCCTAAATCCACGCAAATGGGGACAGCCTGCTGGAACTATCCAAACTAGCCAATCCTAAGCGGTTTACCCTGCCCGGCTTTGCCTTTCCCACGGAAACCCCAATAAAGGCTCTGGCCTAGGGGGCCTTCCCCTCACCCCTCTCTGCCTCCTAACCAAACCCGGTACTCTCCCACGTGGCCCTGAGTGACGAGGCATGCCCCTTTTCTCGGGAACTGTAAGTAATAAAATCTTTTAATGGCGCTGACCTCTCCATGTCATCAGTCAGTCACCTCCATAAATTAAAATCCCACTGGAACAAATGAGATACTGCCTGGCCCCTGACTCCCCACTTGAGGCCGCCAGGACCTGTCCATCGCCTGACATTCAATGCCAGGTGGATCTCCGTATTTCCTCCATGAGTCAGGGCGAGACAGTGAAAGTCAAAGAAAGCCCGAGGCAGGAGGGGGCCTAGCTGCACAGCCTGCCCGGACGTCCACCCCAGGGTGCAGGGAGTCCCATCCCCGGGCCCCCACTCTCACCGCACATCTCCTCATCCCCCCTTGGACAGCCAGGGCTCCAGGAGCACCTTGGCTCTGGAATGCTCCCTGCATCTTGTCAGGGGCACAGAGAGGTCCCCCTACATGAAGAGGTCACCACACCAGGCTTACAACCCTTCAGCCAACAAGCATGATGGACAGGGTCTAGACCGGGGTCACATAGGTGCCGCCCTGAGCAGACCCAGCAGCAGAAGGCTGAAGCAAAACCAGCCTGGGTTCTGAATAGGCTGAACTGGAATGCCCACAGGCAGGGTGTGCCCGGTCCACCCAGGCTCCCCCAGCCCCACTTGTGTTTGTGACCCGTGCTTAGACAAACCTAAGCCTAACTGGGTCTGATGCCACACTTCAGGGCTTCCCTCTCATGGCCCGAACCCAAGGGCTGCTGCTGACCACAGTATCCAGGCCCAGGCAGCAGAAGGCTGGCCCCTTGAAGGCCGCCCCCAGCCTGTGCCACTGGGATGGTCTTGAGGGGACAGCCCCTTAGATAAATGCATCCCATTATCCTCCCCGGGAGCCACAGAACTCCAGGGCTTCCTCGAGCCCATCTAGGCTAAGACCCAAAGGCATGACCTTCTTTAGCCAAAGGGTATTTTCCGCCGGCTTCTCTGCTGCTGCACAGGGTGCCCTGTGCGGGAAGGGAGGCACCCTCTCTGCCCTCTGGGGCTCCGCTGTCAGTCTCTATTCATACACGCCAAGACGGATCAGACCGCCCACCTAAGATGCCTGCCCTGAGGCCACAGACTCCTTCTGGAAGTTCACGTCCAAACAACTATGGCCTTTGACACAAACACAGTGAGCAAGCTTGGGCCAAAACAAACCTTGATGGCAGGGCATCTCCATGACCCAACATCTTTGCCCCAAATGAGAAACAACAAAAGAACTTCTCTTGCTGAGTGTCAGAAATTAATGATGGAAGAAAACAATTTCTTGTGATGTATAACCTCTTTGCCTTTTATGTTTTTCTACAGCTCAACGTTTCCAGCAGCAAAATGAACACTGGTCCTCGTCATTCACCCCTTGGCTGAGAACCAGGAGGACTGAGGGGAGCCCCACCTGCAGCAATGAGGATATACGGGTCCTTCAGCAGGGTGGTTAGTGGTGTCCCCTTCTGGCTCTGCCAAACGAAAAACAGGGGTTAGAAGAGTCGACATGGCCACTGCAGCCCCCTCCTTTCCCAGCGGCTTACCTCTGGCTGTACCCGGGATGGCTGGAGCACAAAGAGCTGAATAGCTATGAGAGAAAAAAATAGTGTGGCCCCAAGCACCTGCCAACACAGATGCCAAGGTCACAACCACTGAGGTCATGGCCAAGGTGCCCACGCGGACTCACTGACCTCCATCGAAGAGCACCAGGGTAGCTAGCACCAGGAACGGAGCCGTCTTCCCCACAAATTCATAGAGCACACTCCCGAAAGGGGGTCCCACTGCGAGGAGGAGAAAGAGGGGCCAGTGCCAGGCTGGGACATTGATCCCCTCCACTAGAACCATCCATTTGTTTTGTGTGTTTTCTCTACTTTGTCCCAAAAACTATTTGGGGTGGCCACCCTGCATCCTATTCAGTAGGGCTAAGCTGCCCTGGCAACTTCCTCCGGGCGGTTCTACCTCTGAGACGTGGGCAAGAGACTATAAGGGTCATCCCAAAGGTAAAGATGAGAGGGAAATAGGGTCCAGGCCACAGAACCGCACTGCTCAAGGAGGACAGGAAAATGGCTCAGCGAGGACTTCATTCCTTATAAACCAGCAGAGACAGGACCTTCGGGCTCCCAAATGAAGGCCAGGAACAGAACAGAGAAGGGAGAGGACCCGGATCTCCTCTCAGGGAAGATATTTGCCCCTGCTCTGGGGGGTCAGCAGGGCAGGTAGGGGAGGCAGACACGGAAGCTAGGAAGGTCCTCAGGTGGGATCGTAACTCGGAGAATGTTCGAGAGGAAGGATCTTGGCAGACCATCCTGTTCAAGCCTTCATTTCACATCTGGGCCCAGAAGTCTGGGGTTTGTTTGCCCAAGGTCACCCAGCAAGTTAACGGGTAGAGGCAGGGGAGGCCCACATCCTCCCAGGTCAGGACGCTCCCATCATTTTTCAAAGGCCCCATGAGAGTAGGGAATAACAAGGGGATAGCTGAGGACTCTGTCAGCGTGAATGTGGACTCGCCGTCCGATGCCAGACAGACCCCTCCTCCCAGTTCGCCTCCATGGTGGACCTTACCCACCTAAGACCCCCATGGCCAGGCCTCCCAGGGCAATCCCCATGGCATTGCCTCTCTCTTCGTCATCTGTGTACACACTGGCCAGCATGCCCATGCCTAAACAGGAAAAGAAATCATCGATAGCCAAGCTCTGGGAGCACCAAGAGAACAATCTATGCCTCGCCTTCCCTCTCCAGCCCAGACATGCGATCTTCCCAAACCTGTCAGATTAATGAAAATATGAGATTAAGCAGAACCCAAGGAGGAGGCGGGTACTTTCTCTGAGAAGCCACTGCCAGTCACCACCACCAATATCTTGATTCCCTAAATGATCCAGCTAATTCGGTAAGGGGCCAGCCAGGCAGGGCAATGCTGGGGGCCCCTCCGACAGACCGAAGCCCCCCAGGGCACTGACTGACTCAGGTATTCCCACACCTACCAGCTACAGACGAGCAGGAGGAGCCGATGCCCTGTAGCGACCTGGCGATGAGCAGGAAGGCGTAGCTGGTGGAGAAGGCGAACACTGTGGAGAGGACAGGGCCAGGACCGCGCATCAGGGCAGGCTGGCTGATGCTATGACCAAATTGTCTCAAACGGGCATTTCTGAAGCCCCCCTTAACCCAACGGTGCATTTCCATACTAACTACGCTGTGCTTCTGGTCCAGGAAGACCTCTCTCCATCGACTCCTTTCTGCAGTTTTTGCCAATATACAACCCCCCACCCCCAGGTTGTATTCTGAATTCCCAGCTCATGGTCATTGGAGCCCACCTGGTGACCCACAGCCAGAAGGCAAACATCAGACACTTACTAATCGTTGAGATGAACATGATGCAGAATCCCGCAAACATTGGAATTGGATAGCCGATTCTGGAAAACAGAACCACGAGGAAAATCTGGTGAGGGCTTCGTATTTTGTTAAGGCTTTATATTGAGTCTCTCCTGCTGGCCCTTTGGGATCAGGGGGATGAGTGTTTGGTCAACTTTTCTAAAAACTCATACAGTTGGTGCTTCCTACGTGACCTTTTCGTGTTTGACTATCTTGGAACGTGAATACATTTATGGATTGCCATTCGGAACAGAACTTTCTCTGCAATAAATGTTAATGCAATATTGGCAAGTCACCCAGAACACGTCCAAAACACACGGCCCCAGTTTCCGTTATGTTATTATTATTTCTTTAATTATAGTCTTGGCTGGAGCTTCCCCAGAGGTCCCACGGCAATCCAGTGATTCTGCTGAAAGGTCACCGAGTGGCTCAGCTGGCAGCAGAGACAACTGCACAAGATCTAAACGGCATTAGGAAGCAAGAAGATTCCCGATGAGGACAGCACAGAAAAACAGGCTCATCTTCTGTGAAAAAATTCCACTTCCTAGTTGTTCTGTAGAAGACCGTCCATACAGGGCTCTGCCACCAGGCCGATGGAGGTGCTGGGAAGACCCTGGCCTTCCGGTATCTCACCCCTGCTAGGACACCTTGCCCTGCCACTTAACCCAGGCAAGTCTCCCCTCCACCCCACGGAGAGATCACTGCCCACCTGCCAGCACCGGAATATAAAATGGATGTGGATGTTAATTTCTACCAGGGGGCCTGGAACATAGAGGGTGCTTCAGAAATTTCACTTCCTCCCTCGAGTTCTTCCTTCTTGCCTCTCTGTTTCTGCGGATTAAGGAGACAGCTTGGTCCCCTGACACGTGGGTGGGCCATGAGGGTGAAAGGAGCTTCCTGGTCCCCCACCCTGAGAAGAGGGCCAACAACGACTGAGCCACTGCCCTCTGGGAGGTCTGCGTCAACCCAGGACAGCCCTGAGCATCTCTAGGCCTCATCTCCCTCTGGCCTAGACCCCCACAAATCCTGGAGAGGAACCAAATGAGGACCAAGGGGTCCTGAGCCCCATCACTCAGCCTGGAAGGCCTCTTCTATTTTAGGCTTGAATAAAAAATCATAATAACACAACCTTCATTTAAAGTTCCCACTCAATTCTCTAGCACTTAATGATTTGATAAGGGCAGACGACCACCTCCCCATCTTACAGAGGAGGAAACTCAGGCACGAAAAAGTGACTTGTCAAACCTACTAGGGCTAATTTTGCTTGGGGCCATTCCGTCCAGTCGAGGGCTTTTCCTTGCAAACTTTACCATCGCACCAGGAGCCAAGGGCATATGTGGCTTTAAGCAGAACCTTTCCAAAAGTTCTCCTAGTAACACTCTTTTTTTTTTATAACTGCTTTATGTGCATCCAGAAACCAAATACCAAAATCACAAATAGCAACTCAAAATCATGACCGATTCCCAGGCATGCCCCTCCCACAAACCCAGGCAAAGATTCCCCTGCTGTGACCTGAGATGAGTTTGTGGTTCACAAAGCGGGGCTCAAAGCCATTCAGGTGAACCAGGAAAGACACCAGGGTTCTGAGCTGCGGTTCAGATGGCCCAACAGCAGCTTCTCGTGTCTCAACTAGCCTGGCGCTGACTGCTCTGTACTCTTTATTTACATAGGCAAAAGAAACCCATACACAACAGGGAGTCCCACACAGCACTGCAGGACACCAGATAAGGAAACTTCGAGGAGGCTCTGTAAGGAGCACTCGCAGGCATTGTTCTCAGCATCTATTGCACATCTGGGGGAAGAATGGACATTACTTGCAGTTGCCCTGGAATAAACAGAGGCTTCTCACCCCTTTCAAAGTACTCCTTGGGAAACAATCTATGTGTCCCAGCTGTTGGAATATTAGTGATGCCATGCCCAGTCTGCAGCCTGGCCACTGGCCACGGTCGCCTGGCAGGACACAGGTGGGTTGGGCCTCTTGTCACCAGGAGCCTCCGGCATCCTCCGAGGCTGGAAGTGGAGAACCAGCGTGCAGGGTCACCTGTGAGTCTCCCGGCAGTTCTGTGAGGCAGCTGGCTTTATCCCTGTTTTTCAGATGGCTACACTAAGGCTCAGGGAATTTAAGTAACTTGCCCCAAATTCAGAGCAGTGGGCATAGCCTGAGTGTCTAAGGCATGCCAGGTCCTGCTGGCGTACACTTTGGTGGGGAAGCCAGTCACGGGAGCAGAGGTTCACACAGGCTGAGTGGAATGGAGGGTCCACAGTTTCATTTAAAACCAGATGGCTCAGTACCCATGGGGCTGTGTGCTTATGGAGGATTCTTCTCACCAAGCCCAGGCGCTGTGTTTTCTTCAAAAACACGGCAGCTATTTTTTTTTAATTCCTTTGGGATTTTAATAAAGCATGTGTGGAATAACCAAACGGCAATGCTGGAAGGAAACTCAAAGGCAGGGCCGGCCAAACCCTCATCCTGGGTGAGAACGCTGAGCTCCAGAGACAGAGCAGGTCTCCCACAGTCGCAGATACCCACGCGGAGCCAATCGCTTCGGGTACCACTCAGCTCACGCTGACTCCCTCTCATTACTGGACACGTGTACCTACACTTTCAACACTGGCCAAGCTGCTGGTGGGACACACTGTGGCAAGTGCTGGGGAGCATCTCTCCCGGGAGCTCAGCCCCAAGTCAAAGATGGCACGATGGGCAGCTCCTGCATCTCTGTTCTCGAACTCCTCTGGCCCCCGGAACACCCACCTCAGAAGCAAGGCTGTCCAATGCCTCAGGGTCACTGAGCGATGGGCAGATGGCCAGCGCCCTCTCTCCTTCCCCACAATGTCTCCTAAATGGACAGAAACTCAACTGACATTAGTCATAAACGTCTGAGGTGGCCTCTTGTTCCAATTCCATGCCATCTCCATTAAGTATGGCTAAGCAGAGCTAGATCTGACGTGGCAAACCTTTAACCAAATGTCCCATTATCATCCCCTAGTGAGTCATCCTGGCCCACGGTCATCCTCCGTAGAGCATCAGGGAGCAGTTAATCCAATTAGAAAAAGACTAAAAATCACATACTGCATCCCTGGGGAAAAGTGTAAAACAGTAAAAGTCATGCTCATTATAAAGACCTAGTCAATGGAGAAGTCCCACACGTTCCTAAATCATCACCGACAATCAATACTCTAGAGAAAGTGCTAATAACTAGTTTATCTTTGCCACAGAGACTAACGCAAGCTCCATTCTCAGGCCTGCTAAGGCCTTGGTTCCCTCTGCCGCGGTGACAAAAGCAAGGACACAGAGTGTGGAACCCAGCAGGGTACACACTATCACCAGATAAGACAAGAGGTGACATCTCTCTTTCCAATTATCTCAACTTGCTCCCGAAAGGTGGTAGGGTAAGTAAACACGAGTAAATGGAATGGTACTTTAGATTTGCTAGGATATATGAGGAAGTTTACTGTCAAGCATTTTTGTAAATAAAACAAAATCCTTAGGTTTAGCCCCGAGGGTCTTTTTCAGCTATTAGAGGTGTGTGGGGAGTTATGGAGCCATGGATTTCTTACTCTCCTGGGTGTTACTTCTATTCTCTGACAACACACAGCTCAAGAGGGGGCTTTGCTCCCACAAGAAATGCCCAATTCCACGGCCAGCTTCTGATTTCCGAAACGAAGACTTGTCACACCATCCCTACCATCCTAACAACGTCTAGGACAGGAGATCCCTTTCCAGAATAGCTGGTTTACCCGTCCAAGGAGAAGCTGAAAAGGTCACTGCTTCTTCCTTCAAAGCCCACTTCAGACTCACCGGCTGAAGCCAGAGGCAAAAAAAAAGAACCACAGTAGATTTCATAGAGATTTCATGCCCTGTAGCTTCCTCCTTGTCGTTCTGATGTTGGCTAAGATTTGTGAGGAAAAATAACTGGCTTTCAAATATACTAGGTAACTATGGAAATAAATTAAGCCACTGACACTGGCTTGATAAAAAGCAGAACACTGAGACGATGACAAGCTAAGGAGGGAGCCGAGGGAGCCGGCCCAGTACCCAGTTAACCCTTTCCCAAGCCACACAGTCCATCTGGAGTATCTTTCGGTTCTAAAGACGTGAATACTATTTAAGCCTCATGTTAAGCAAGTGAAGACCATGATGCCACGGTCTTAACCTGATTTATGGGAGACAGAAATGTAAAGCCGTTTGTTTTCACATCGTTTACCTGCCTAGAACACTCCTCTTATGTGTGTGTACGTCTAAAACTCACTTGCTGGGCCAAATGATAACAGGTGTTGCCAGCATAATTCTTCTATTCCCTTTTACACACAACTGCAATCGTGAAACGAATAGGTAAACTGGAATTATAAAATAAGTCACATGAGCCTCAAAGACAGAAAGCCAGTCAGCCAAGGCACCCGCAGGTTTTGGAAAGTGTGTTAATGGGTATGTGATCACTACATTTGCCAAAATCAAAGGTCCTCTGCTTCCTATCTGGTCACATATTTCTCAGTAAAAATACAGTACCTGCAGAGCAAGTGAAACAGGAAGTATGGGTCTCATATCAGCAGCTGGATGAACACATCGATGCTTCCGGAGAACTGCTTTTATTTTCAGGGTTTGGCATGAGATCTTATCTAATATTTAAAGCAACAGACAGGCAACCTGCCTCTTGTGTCACCCACCCACAAAAGCCACTCACACAGCAGTATCAGGACCACAAATATGAGGGTCCAGGTCATAACACAGGGGTTCAGGTTGCGACGTGTGATGTGGGGTGTCTCATTGCACAGTGGGTCCCGCTTACGGCAAGAGTCTTTAGAAGGGAGCAGTTCCCACCAGCCTGCCTCTAGGCAGCTTCCCCACATCTTTCCACTGTCAGAAGCACTGCACAGATGCTGGGAAGCTGGACCAGCTCACATCAGGGGCTGGAAAAAGATATTATTTTTCTGGGGCCAGGGAGGTGAGGGAGGACCCATGGTCAAAACACCAGGCTGATTTTTTTCTAAACTCTCTGCCCACTGATTACAAATAGCAATCACTCACTGTTTGGGCCTTTACTCGTTCAGCCTGGTACGACCAAGGAGAGCCCAGGAAGATGCAAGAAAGACAGATTTTGACCTGTATTATTTTTAGCAGCTAGACATACAACCTTCTAACAGGAATGGGAAGGGAGGAAGACACCTGGACAGAGAGTCTGGACACCTGGCTTTACTCCTGCCACTGGTGTGGACAGATGCTTTCTCCTAAGTGGCAAACTCCTTTGCCTATAAAATCCTAGGACTGGCCCAAAAGCCTTTGCTAAAGTCTCCTCCAGTTCAGATGCTCCTCTTTAATCGGGAACATATTAACCAACTGTAAAATGCTGTTTTAAACACTCTTGTTTACAACACCGAAAACGTGAGTCACACATCTTGAGGGTAATTGAAGATGTGATTGGCACAAATTACATCAAAAGACTATTTGCAATGGCTCACAAGGGAAGACTGTGCAACGGGAAATGGAATGAATTCATCACTTCTCTGAGCAGAGCCATGGAGCCCCCAGAAACGCTGCAACTCCCCAAATTCACATCTACCAGGCTTGGACAATAGTAGGAAAATTACAGATCATGATCATTTCGGAGAAACAAGAGAGTTCTCTCTGCTGCTTAAAATTTGTGTGCGTTCCCACATTACGAGGCAGCGCTAGAAGATAAAGAATCTTTTGAAATTCACTTGGTAGCAAGAGTGAGGGAACCAGTTAAAATTTTGCTCCAGATAAGTTCCAAAGTAGATTACTCACCACAGAATAGACTAAATTTCACAGGTCACAAAACAAATTAGGTTTTTCTCTTGGAAGACAATTTTTTTTTTTGGAGCCCCAAACGTGAGCCAAATGTCAAAGAATTTGGAGTATTTAATAGGGGAAAGGTCTCCCTGGCTTCAAGCAAGCTTTTTCCCCATGGCATAAGCAAAGCATTAAAAACAAGAATGGGATTTTTAAAAAGCTTTTCATTTGCCACTTGCATTTGGAACCCCGGGACACCCACAGCACTTCAGCTGAGTTTCTAACTATTACACCGTACAGCTAGCAACGTTCACGCCCAACTGACTGGCAAAGGCATCATTACAATAATGCCCTCAATTTTCCCATACAGTATTTGAGCTGTTTGCTTTCTCAGAACACAAAACCCTGAGCCGTTTTCTGTAATTATACCAGATGTGTTTTCAGAAGTGCTCTTGGTCTCGAAAAAAGAAAGAAACAGCCCTGCCTCTACTGAGGTCTGTCTGGTTTTCCTTCTGGAGAGAGGAACTGCCAAATGTCCCCTTGACAAGGGCGCTTCTTGGTGGGCTCACGATCAGCCCATCCTCGCTGGGTTAATTTGCTTAGCATACTTTATGTGGCAGCTTCATAATATTGCTTGACACAGACTGGAGGGCTGGACATGGCTTGGGATGGTTAAAATTGATTCAACGGCATTACTTGGTCCAGAAAATCAAATTGCAAAAGTTTATAATGTGCTTCCTTCTGACTTGCCATGGGTACATTACCAGCAACCTCCGTGTGTTCAAGGGCAGCTCGTGCTGGCGGAAGGCCAGATCTACTGTACCCTTTCTGAGCCTCTACTACCCCAGGCCTCATCCTTCATTGACCCCCCCTACCCCCAGAGCTGGCCCCGCTCTCAGAAGGGCTCCATGCTTGGTTTAATGCTCTACTGCTGCTGTCTTAAAACACTTAATAATATCTGAAAAGAGGGCCTGCAACGTACGTAGCCAGTGCTCCTCCTCCTTCCCCAGGCCAAAGCCCAGGTGAGTGTAAAGATGTCCCTGCTCTCAGCTATACGGGATGCTTGGCTCCCTGACTCTTCACCTCGGCTTTGGAACCTCCAATGGCTCCCAAGTACCCCTGCAACAAAAGCCCACTCCCTTCTCGGCCTAGCACCTGGGCCTCTTAATAGCCTGCCCTGCCCAGTCCCCGCTGCCCTGCCCTCCTTGTTTCACCCTGGCCCCTCCTACTTCCTCTCTTCCAGCTCTAGTCTATGTCTTTGTTCACGCTTCCAGGCCTGGTTCACAAGTGGGACTCTGCGCACGGCCCTCTGCCATTTGTTTGCATTTCTGCCTTTGGGGCCACACCATTTACACGGCAGCCCACCCCCACCACTCGCACTGTGCCAAGACCCTCTCTTTGCAACTGACACCTTCAGGGGCTGCCTGTTCCCCTCCACTGCAAGCCCCTGTCCTGTGCTTTGAGCTCCCAGGGACCAGCTGGCTCACCTCAGCTGCAGAAGAAAGGTACTTGCTGGATGGCCACCAACAACGGCAATGTGAACAGTCACTCAAAACAACGTGAGTCCAAAAAAAAAAATCCAGAACATCCAGATTAATGTAAAGGTAGGGTGGGCATTATGTGGGGCATTATTAGCTAGTTTGAATTATCCAGAAAACAGCTTCGGTTCTCCGTCCTTTGTGCACATGGACAGAGCTCAGTGACTGGTGAGGGAAGAGCTGTTACACCATTACCTGTTAGCAGGACCTCAGGTTGGCTAAGAGTTTTGTCTCTGCAGCAGGACAACCCATCTTTTCCCATGTCCCCCACCCCAACACCTACCCGAGCCTTTGCCACGCCAGCTCTAAAGAAACCATCCTGGCTTTCTATAGGGAACAGCATGACCAGGGGTGGAAGAGATGAGAAGAGAAAGCAGTGTGGCACACAGAAGGCGATGAGGATGGCCGTGGTGGCTACACAGTTCTTGCTGCCCAAGGGCAATGGTGACAAACAGACCTATGCAATCTGGTGTTTGGACAGAATCAAAGTTCTCCCACTCGGGGAGGGCCTCTTTATTCTGTTTTCTTTAATATTTTCTTACTTTTTAAGCAACAGAGGTGGCACTGAAAAGGTGGAACAAATGGGAAATCACAATGAACCAAGGACAGAAACACAAGAGCAGGCGATTGATTTTCCCCTGGCAAACCCACCACTGGTTCTCCAGACCCTGCTCAGTGAATGAGGAACAGAAGCTCAGAGGGAAATGAGCTCGGGACGAGATAAATATAAAACTCTTTGGCCAGGATAATACAACCTACCTGTTGGTCAACAGCCCCACGAATGGGTTGGTGAGGAGCTGGACAGTGGCTTTAGAGGCAAACAACAGGCCAACTTGCACATTTTCATTCAGGAGGTCTTTGTCTTCACTGGGACAGTCGGGAGGTGCAGTGGACGTGTTAGTCACCATCTGCTGTGTGGTGGTCTTGAGCAGCAGCCCGCCCTGAAGGTCTCTGGTGGTGTTCCCAGTGACCACGGTGGAGTTGTCATAATAGGAGAAGATGCTCTGGAAGCTACCTGAGGTGGAGGCCGTGAGCACGGGCTTGGCAGTCTGGATCTCTGTAGTGTTCTTCTCATGCTCGATGCTGTACAGGTAACTTGGGATGATGGGGACTGCGGACGAGCAGAACAGGAAGGCTGTGATTGCACCGAAATCCTCCTCGGGACAAATGCCAGCAAAACTACGGTCAGGGCAAAGGCCAAACGAGGCCCAGGGAGATGATGTATCTACCTCAGGAACAGGCCCCCCGTGCCAGGGGCCCGCACTGACACGGGAACAACTTCACATGGCTTAGCTCCCTATCAAGAACAAAGCCCCCACGGCTCTGACAGCTCATCCGCCCTCAGGGTCAGCGACTGTGCAGAACCGACCAGCCCCACAGATTCGAGTCCTTTGTGGAGTTTCTCAGTACAGGGGTCCTTCACGGTACTATTTTAGGAAAGCAAAATGCGGTCTGAAGTCTAGCCAGTGCTGCCCTGGGGTCAATCCGGGCTTCTCAGATTCTCAGGAAGACCTTTAAATGAATGAAGCAAGGAAACAGAAACCTAAATTTCATTATGTGTCTCAGAAAAAAATAAACCTGCAGGAAGTAATAATCAGGAAATTCTGCAAAAGACCCACTTTATCTTTCTATTACTTGAGTGGGAATCTGCAATTTTTCACACAACCTGGAAGACAGAAGAATTTCTGAGACTTTCATAAAGGCAAAGAAAAACTGTTTCATGTAATAAAAGCTTTGAGCGTGTGTATAAAAACAGCATTCACCACAAAGGCGAACTGAGGCCCGCGTTACTGAGCTGGGATGGGCCCACCATTTTGATAATCCTTGAGGTGAAAACCTGACTATTTGATGCTCTGAAACTGTCATGAGGGAACCTGCAAATGCAAAGAAGGGAAATAACCCACCCCTGAGAGTCCAAATAAAACATCTTGTTTTATTCACTAAAAATTTGTATATTTTGAAGGGAAAACTTGGAGAATACTTTGCTGTTAACGGAGCTAATTAAGAGATCCGGATTTCAAGTATTTAGTTTTTCACAAAACTCTATTATAGGAAAAAGGCTAAAACCAAAACTGTTCAAACTGCTTTGGAAACGATCCTGAAATGTTTCCATCTCTAGTCATTCACTGTTACAATATATGTAAACGTCAGTTCTCTGTTTTGTTGGGAAGGATGCTGACTTGTTCCTTTAGATGTTACCAATTAACCCACCTTTTCGGGGGGCATAATAATAATTATAACATTATTTTGAACCCTGGGAGTTGCTAGTCCTTAATAGAAATCTTTTTCATCGCAGTGAAAGTGGGCAGGGGGGAGCAGGAAATTATCAGTAGGAAACACAAGTTCTGGGTCTTATCGGATGTCACATTTTTTGACCTGACCACCAGGAAAACGAAGCCACAAACGCGGTTCCTACTCGCCCAGGCGCTGCAGTCTCGGGGGATGTATTTTTGCAAAGCCTGTTCTCCCGCTTTCCCGGACCGCGCTCGGGTAAGTGGGGCGCCCCGGGCAGCGGCGCCCGGGGAGGGCGGACCCCGGTCGGTACGTACTCACGACGGTGAGCAGCATGTTGTCCAGCAGCAGCGCGAGGAACACGATGAAGAGGATGAGCTTCTGCGAGTGGCGCCTCTCCTGCAGCCAGCGGAGCACCGCCAACTCGCTCAGGGCCATGGCTCCGGGGCGCGGCTGCGGGCGCGGGGCGCGGTCAGGGGCCGGGCGGGCCGGGGGATCCCCGCACCCCGATGCTCAGACTTCCCGGGTCGAAGGGGCTGTCCGGGAGCCGCGCGCACGGGCGGCGCGGGACGGTCCCGGGCGTCGCCCCTCGGCTCACCAGCCGGGCGTGCGTCCCCACGAGCACCCGCGCTCCCTGTTCCTAATGCCCCGTGGGCCGTCGGGGCCCGAGCCCGGGCCCGCGCGGTGCGGTCCCGCTCCCCGCCGCCCCCGAGGGTCCCCTTCTCCCAGTGCGCGCTCGGAAAGCCCCGCGCACTGTGAGCCTCGCGCCCCGCGCCCTGTTTTCCCGGGCCACCCCGCAGCCCCGGGCAGCGCCTCGTCGGGTGCCCCTGCCCTCCGCCGGCCTCGCGGGCAGGAAGCGGGGTCGGCGCTACCTCGGGGTCGCCTGCGGCTGCCGGCCTGGCCACTGTGGGCTCCGTCCGTCCGTCCGGCGGTTCCGGGTCGCAGTCTCCGCCCCGGCGCCGCCGCTCGGTTTACCGGGTCCGGCTCTGACGTCACGGGCGGCGCGGGGAGGGGAGGAGAAGGGGGCTGGGGGCTGGGGCGCCCCGGCCTCCGCCCACCCCGCCCGGCGCAGCGCCTCGGCCCCCTGCCCGGGCCCGCTCTCCTGTCGGCTCTGCGCCTGGACCCCGAGGCGCCCCCGTCCTAAGCCGCCCCGAGAGCAGCCCCTCGCCCGACCCTGCACGTCGCCGCGCGCCCTGGGGACCCGGCCCAAGGGGAGCGACTGGGGCGCAGAGGGAAGAAGTCAGGGAGCCCAGGACGATGGGTCAAGGGCCCCAGGTGAAGGGTCAGGGGCCAGGGTCAGAAGTCAGGCCTTAGTGCTCTCATCTGGCCCCAAATAGGGGTTGGAGCTGCTCTTTGAGCCTCACTGTCCCTGGAATTGGCCACGAGGACATGAAAGCTACTGGGTGAGTGTGCCAGGGAAAGGCGTCATAGGGTGTTGGGAGCCAGGCACTGTTCTCTCTTTCCTGGGGAAGCCCACCCCAGCCCACCGCCCCTCCCCTCTCCCACCTCTGGAGCCCGTGCAAGATGCCACTTGGAGTCCTTGACCCTCAGATCCTTGGGTACCCTCAAGCTGGTGTTGTGGACACCTCTGGGTGTCACCCCACAGTGGGAGTGGGGATGTGAGGGCCCAGGCCCATAAGTCAGGTCTCAGAAAGTAGGAGCAGTGGGCCTGGGCCTTTGGGGCCACCAGGAGCACATCACCCTGGGCAGGGGACACTGGAGACTAGGTGAGTGCCTGGCGCCTTGGGAAAAGTGCTCAGGGGCCAGCTGCTGTGGCCCTGGGTGCTGTCCTCCCTGCCGTGGCTGTGTCAGGGGGAGTCTGGCTAAGAGATGGTTAAGACAGGCCCAGTGTCTGTCTGTGGCTGATGCAGAGCTGGAATCCTCACCAGCAAGGGTGAGAGCCCACCTTTGATTTCCAAGTCCCTCCATTTTATAAACAGAAAAGAAGCAAACAGACATGGTCCCCCTGCCATAGCTGGAACTTTGGAGACCCTTCTAGGAGGCAGGAGAAACAGGAGCCATTTTCTTGAAAAGCCACTTGGAATAAATGTGATCCCGTGGCGTCTCTCAGCCATAGAGTTGCCCCTGGTTTATTAATGTTCGCTAGTCGTCAGCGGGAGGCTGCTTAGAGCAGCAGGGCTGCGAGGGCTGCTCCGCTCTCTCCACCTCCGCACTCCCTTCCAGACCCCCGTGCTTCCCGCCGCTGCCCCTGCTGTGTGAGAAAGATGGTTGGATAAGTAAGTAGGTCAGTGACATGGGGACTCCGGGATGTCCCAGGATGTGCGCCACTTAAATATTAAACAGAGAGGAGAGAAGGAAAACCACTTAGGAGGAGAGAGCAGATGGCAGAGAGCTGTTTAAGATGTGGCTGTGAAGGGTGTCACCTTCATGGACTCCCCCAAAGTGCCTAGAATTTCAGAGCCCGAAGATGCAGGCCCTGTCCCAGAGCTCCCTGGGCAGAGAGGCATCAAGGGTCAGGGATCATGTCAGGATGCCCCGGGGCCCCGTCTGCTGCTTCCTGGATCGGTGACCTTGGGCAGATTGTGTGTCCTCTCTGTGCCTTAGTTTCCCCATCTCTGGACCTACTGCAGAGTTGTCGTGGGGATTAAATGGGAATGCACAGGCGCCTCTTAACACAGTGCCCAGCACGACGTGAGAGCTCAGTAGGTGTCTGCCATTCATTCATCCAACAAATACTCCCTGAGTGATTGCTACGTGCCAGGCGCTATGGTCGATGCTGAGGAGACGGTCATGGCCCAGACAGACAAAACTCCCCGTCCTCAGGTGCTTACACATTCTGGCAGCAACGCCATGATGGTGAACATGGGAAGCCACACTGACTCCAGCCCGGCCAGCTGGAGGAAGACGATGCCAGGGAAAATGCCAGTCCCTGTGCTCCTGCCTCCTGATCTCTGCCACCACCCCTAGAGCACCATGGCCTACAACAGCATCTTCAGACTTTTTGTTGACACCTGCCAAAAGAATTTTTTAAAAATATGTATGCCTCACACATTTTTAAGTTGGCATCTAAAATGGTTTTTTATCATAAATTTAAATAGGTTGGGTTATATCATATATATTGACCTATATATATAAAACCCTTATAACTTCTTCTTCTTCTTTTTTTTTTTTTTTTTTTTGGTGAGGGAGACTGGCCCTGATCTAACATCTGTGCCAATCTTCCTCTGCTTTGTATGTGAGATGTCACTGCAGCATGGCTTAGTGAGTGGTGTGTAGGTCCATGCCTGGCATGTTAACCTGTGAACCCCAAGCCACTGAAGCAGAGTGCGTGAACTTAACCACTATGGCACCAGGCCAGCCCCTAAAACCATTATAACTTTTAAATGTACCCAATGGAATATAAATATTATAAGAATGCAGAACTACCATATTATACTTATACAAACAAGATTTTCTTTAACAGTCAAAAAGTTTACATTGTTTTCTTTATGCCTTCAAAGTATGCACTTCCAACAGAATTTTATCCAACTGTAATGTTTTTATCATTTCTTTAGTCATCACCTTATCTATTAAATGAACTGCAACAAATACGTGAATATACATTAGCTTTTTAAATTTTTCTTAAGGCTGTAAAGCTGTCAGTTTTAAATTTCCATTTAGGATTGTGTTATTGTAACAATTATTCACAGTACATAAATGATCATGCATATAATGTGAATTTTGGTAAATAATTATTAAACATACAAAGAAAAATTGTGTTAGAAGTACATTCCTTAGTGAGATGGATGGGAGAGGATTTCTGGAGCCTTGATAAAAGAGACACCAGTATTCTCTCTGGATGTTTTTATGTCTCAGGACAATGTAAGATGGTAAGACTCAGGTTGGGTGAAAAGTGAGACTTTCATTTGTCCAGTGGGAGACAGGAGATTGTTGAAAAGGAAGGGGATAAAGGAGCGTCCTCATGTCTCCACCTGGGTCCATCTCTGCCAGATCAATTTTAAAATAGAGGACATATGGAAATCAAGAGTCCCCAGTGGCTTGGGAAGTCTTCATATATACCCAGTGTCCTGGTGTTCCAGGTTGAGGAGCCAGCCTGGGAGGCCCTGCCTGGTCTGGGTCTTTGGGACTCCACAGCCTCCTGTTAACCCACTTAGTTCTCACCTTCCCCCTGCAGCCACACTGATTCCTCTCAGTGTATCTCTGCCTCAGTGCCTTTGCACATTCTGTTTCCTCTGCCTGGGAAGTTCTTCCTCTTTTCCTAGTTATCACCCTCTCATTCTTCATTACCAGCCCTAATGTCACTTCTCAGGGGAAGCCACCCTTTCATGGACCCCACCACCAGTATCAGACAGGTACTTTTCTTACAAACCCTCATGGAACCATTACTTCCTCCAGAATATGTCTCTCGTATCTGCCCATGAGGAACAATACTCCCATAAGCGTGATCAGTTATCTCTGTCTCCCCAGGTATCAGGACTGGGGACACTCTTTTTGCTCATCACTGAGATTCCAGAACATAGTTAGTGCTCCTTAAATATCTGCAAAGGGGATCTGCACTGGGCAGGTGGGCTTCCCTTCTGATGCAGAGCCATGAGAACCAGAGAGAAAAGCACCTTTGCCCGAAGGGGAGAGTACGTTCCTGGCTCCATCTCCCCGGCCGGAACCACTCCTCAAGGACCAGGCTTTGAGGATGCCCATTGTGACCACAACCTTTATTTATTCTCCTGGGGAACTCAGACGGGTTCAGCCACCCAACCCTCTTCCTCCACCCTTTTCAGACACTAGGGACTGAGAAGGTACAAGGTGCCACCGGGGTTGACTTTCTTCGCTGACTTTCAATATTTAGGAATGATAAGGCATGGAGCCCCCTGGAACATAGCAGTTATGTGAAATAGGCATTATTAGAGATAAACTAACATGCATTTAAGCTATAGATAGCATCCTGACTGGGTCACTTTTACAAGTTATGTGACTTTGGGAGTGTTACTAAACTTTTATGTGCCTCAGTTTCTCTTCTGTCACTCCAGCATGATGAGGCCCCCCTCACAGAGTTGTCATGGGATTAAGGAAGATGATTCTTGCATGGCGCCTGTCACAGAGCCGAGGCTCACACTCATTGAGCGTTCTCTGGTGTTGGAAAAGTGAGGGTGCTGAATACACGCAAGGGGTAGGCGGTCCATGGGGAAATCTTCAAGTGCTCCCCCAAACAGAGAACTTGGAAATAAGGGATACAGACTTCTCCCTTGGGCATTAAGCTGTGAAATGCAAATAATGCGTCAGAGAAGAAATGAACAAAGGTGTCCTAAAGAAACACGATGTTTCCTAGGTTAGCAAAACCTGATATACTAGTTCCCACCTGGGTAGAGAAAGGAGGTGGAACACCCAGTGGAAAGCTGGGCACAGGGCGGAACAGGCAATTCATAGATGGGGAAGCCCAAATGGCTACCAAGCTCATGAAGAGACACTCAGACACACTAGTGATCAGAGAAGTGCTGGTTAAAACAATAGTGAGCTATGCCCGTTAGACCGGCAACAATGAAGAAGTTGGGTAAATGCCGTTTGTTGGTGAAGATGTAAAGAAATGGGGACAGTGCAGCCTTTCTGGAGAGGAATCAGAAGTGCCTGGTGGAATGAAGTCAGTGCACACGCTCTGATCCAGCCGTCTCTCTCCCTGTCTATGTCTCAGGGAAAACCCTCCAGGGACAAGAACAAGGAGAGTCATTGCAGTGTTATCTGTGGCAGTGGGGAGTTGAAGGCAACCTCAGTTTCCATCACTAGGGAATAAATAAGTGAGATGTGGAGGATGCTCATGGTGGAGCACCACGTAAAGGGACACACTGGATTACCCATATATCTGTGCACAGATTTTAGGACTTGTCGAGTATGAAAGAGCAGGAGAAGAGCAAGTTCTATAGCACGATGCCATGTGGGCTCAGTAAAGGCACACGGAGCACCACTACCTCTATCGGAGGCTTCATTCCTCTTCAAGGGTGTTGACAAATAGAAATGGCAAGCAATAGGATATACTAGAGTATATGAGGAAGACATTTGGTAT